CAGAGTATAAGTTTAAAGTTTCACCAATGTATAAATATTTTGTAAAATACATCAAATTATGTACTTAAACCTATTTCATCCATATTGATGTTAACGTTATTCAAAAATATTTTTTCCAAAATTGTTTAAGGTCAACTAGTAACTATATTCTTTTAGTTTAATCTAGTTATGTTCTTGAATATCTACTTGAAGAATTATTTAGTGAATTGTAGATATTTATGAGAGGGTATAAAATAAGTTGCCCATGCTTTCTTTTCGTTATTTTACTTCTTTGTTAATAATATGATGATTTACACAATGAAGTCCTTCAAATAGCTATAATATACTAGGTTATAACCCGTGTATCACACGGTTAGTTGATATAGTAAACAACATAGGAGTATAAAATCGTACTCATTAATCATAAATCATAAATTTACAAATAATTATCTTTATATTAATTTGATGTTTTCTCTATGTATCTATTATCATTATTTTTACATGCAGCGATCAATTAGATAACATTATTTTTCAAGTGCTTTGCTATGAGTTCTCTTTCCGGTCTTTAAACAAAACCAATATTTGTAAGGTATTGTGGTCTTCCCCTGTTTCAACCCTTGCTATGGATCTTCAAGCTATTCTTTAACAGTATACAAATATGGTTTCAAATCCAAAGTGTATTGAACTCCTTATTCCCATTCAACTCTTAATATTGTTAGCCATTTACGATGGATATGAAAAACCAAGCAATAAAAGTTGATGATCTGGTCAAGTGATGTTGCATCCAAGACTAACTTGCAGCTATTCTTTAACAGTATACAAACATGGTTTCAATAAACTATTGTAATCATCTGAAATTATCTTATAAAATCTTTTATTTTTAATTCTCTATCAAAGTTTTATGGGATATATACAGTAAAGTCCCAATATTTTCATCGATTTGACAAGAAAGTCCTAAACTTTATTTTTTTGACAGTAAAGTCCAAATTACCGGCAGTTTTTGACACTTTTACCCTTTTTTCCCGGTTAGCCGGTAATTAAGACTTTTTTGTCAAAAAAAAATAAAGTTTAGGACTTTCTTGTCAAATCGTCAATTAGGACTTTACTGTCAAAAAAATAAAGTTTAGGACTTTCTTGTCAAATCGTTAAAAATATTGGGACTTTAGTGTATATATAAATTTTTTTGGTTAGAAATTTAATGGTATAATACTCTTTAAGCATAAGAGTTATTAAAAACTTCTCTAATCAGCTAGATCCTATTGTAATCCTTAACGTTTGCTTCTTGTTAAATCGTTTTTTTAATCTCAACAAATCGACATTGAAAAAAATTGAGATAATAAAAAAGAAAGAAAGAACCAGGGTTCGGTTTCTTATTTCTCCATTTTTGGGACATCAAAAAGCTAACACAACCCTGGTTCTTTCTTTCTTTTTTATTATCTCCATTTTTTTCAATGTTTGTTTGTTGAGATTAAAAAAACGATTTAACAAGAAGCAAATGTTAAGGATTTCAATAGGATCTAGCTGACTAGAGAAGGTTTTAATAACTCTTATGCTTAAAGAGTATCCTACCATTAAATTTCTAACAAAAAAAGGATATACACTAAAGTCTTATTATTTTCAACGATTTGACAAGATAGTCCTAGACTTTGTTTTTTGACAATAAAGTCTTAATTGACGATTTGACAAGAAAGTCCTAAACTTTATTTTTTTGACAAAAAAATCCTAATTACCGGTTAACCGGGAAAAAATGGTGAAAGTGTCAAAAATTGACGGTAATTTGGACTTTACTGTCAAAAAAATAAAGTGTAGGACTTTCTTGTCAAATCGATGAAAATAGTGAGACTTTACTGTATATATCCCAAGTTTTATTTCTACAGAATTAAATCAAGCATATTTTTTCCGGTCAAAGTTTAATTTTTAGCATAAAAGTTTTATTTTCTTACTTTAACCAAAACCCAAAATCAAGCTAAGACATACAAAACTGGGATTCGACTACAAGATTTTTTCTAAAACTTTAACTCAACTTAATCATGGTAATCAATCTTTTATTAGGGTTAAGACAAACATGATAAAAATCCTGCATATTAAAAAAAATCACAGTCAAGCATTTCACCAAACACTTACTGTGCAGATAATTGGCCACGGTTTACCGGTGCTGGTGATGAACCCCTGAAGAACCAGATCTCTTGAAACAAATGTGCTCATCCTTGTAAGACAATTTACGATAATCAGTTTTCCAAAGAAAACCTAATTCGTGAAAATTGCTATCAAACCAACAAACAAACCACATTACCATTACGTAAGAGTAAGTTTTCAAAAGATGGTGGAAAGAAAAAGTAATTCATGAGAAACGCAAAAGGGAACATAGGGCTCACAATTAAATGTCGGACAACGTCTTCAATGTCAACGTAGACTTTAAATTTTAAGAAATTGTTTGCTTACACAAAGCAATTTGATTGAAAATGGCATCAGAATTGCTCGACTGACTGTAAAATCAGAAAATAAAGATGTAAGTTTAAGGAGAAAAGCAACGCTACAAATCCCAGTTAATCTTAGAACATGCAATGCCCTAACCGCAACCGTCGCTACGGTGCTGAACATTGATGCATCGTTTGCAGAATCACCAAACCTTGCGAGTTGCGACGGCGCACCCAAAACCTAAGTAAGGCGGAAGGAAGCAGAGATAATTTTCTGGATGTATAGTTTTGACGAAATTTAAGGCAATCAATAACTGAGAGATAGGAGCCGAGATCCATGAAATCGGGATAATCGAAGGCGATAAACGATAAGAATTCAGAAATTACGTTTAGCAAGAGATATGATCATGATGCTGATGTGGATTCTTTTAGTGGGCGGGAAAACGATTCATAAGATGGCTGAAGATTTGACACGTGGAACAAAGAAGGTTTAGAAAGAAGACACGTGGCGGTTTAGGAGGCTTTTATTAAGGATAGATAGATAGATAGATTACTTGGTAGTTATTTCGAAAATGTTTACGAAATGGTTACTATGCAAATACTCTCACAACTATGGTTTGATCGTAGTTCTTATTGCAAAACAAAAAAAAAAAAAAATTAATCCCACTAATCTAGTGAGAGGCACGTAAGTGTTAGATGGATCGAGCTTGTTGTTAGCAAAATAATTTTAATAATGAGAAGATAAATTATCACTCAAATTGTAACCATTCGTTGAAAAAGTTGTACCCTTTAATTAAAATAATGATTATTTTGGAAATGAAACTTTTCGAGAATTTTTGGGTAAACTTTTGTAAATCGACTAATTTTGAGTTGCTAGCATATGACTATGCCTCATGCTACGGTTTTATTGCCACATGAGCTGGGTAATGTCGGAATATGAACATGAGCCACTAACTTACCACATTTATTACATGACTTACCAAACCAATAGGAAAATACACGATCACTTCTAATTTCAGGTTTGAATTCCAAAAAGCATATTGTATTAA